CCCCAAAACCCCAAAACCCCAAAACCCCAAAACCCCAAAACCCCAAAACCCCAAATTGAGACAATCAGATTGAAATCGACTAAAATGAGTGACCAAATTAAGCCCATTCCCTTCTAGAAATCACCAGAATTTTCGAAAACACATTTAAATTCTTATCTCCTAAATTTAAAACCAAAATACGGGCGGTAGTAGCATTATTTGAAAGATATTTTAGGAACATGTTTTTGATCGAGTTTTAGCGGCAAAATAGTATTAAGAGATAATTCTCGAAAATTATATTTTCTTAGATAAAGATTATCGAAGTCCAAACTTGGAACTCTTTGGCTCTCGAAAAGCCAAATAGGAAAAGATAAGTTCGGAATATGATCTTGTTGAAATTATTCAACTGACATCCATTTCTTGAGTCTTTCGTTTACGGCAAATAAGATGGCTGTAGCTGGAATCATTTTGAGGATACAGGGATTCAGGCCTTTCCAGAAACTTCTTGGGCCCTCGTAAAGCATCATTGAGACAATGCAGTGAAGTAGACCATCGTATGGTCTTGCGTGCTTGTTTAGTCCAGCTAATTGAATTCTTCTTTTCACTAAGTCTAGGGGGTATGTGGCGCCCATTGAGATCATTCCTGCAGCAGCTCCACATGCAAGGTTAATCATATCGAAGTGAGGGGTATCTTTATCAGGGCAGAATTGGGTCTTGAGAACGTCAAAGGTAGCCATTTTGATAGCGATGTATGGAGCTATCCCAACCATGGTAGTAGCCCAGCCTTTGTAGAAACCTAAAATACCTTCTTTAGTATAGATAATTTTTAAGTGACCGAGGATCCCTTTCTTATAGTGTCTCGGGTTCAGCTGTACTGATAGAATAGTTTTCACCAAGTCCAGCGGATATGTAATAGTGTTAGCTGTGATCCCTGTCAGAGCTCCGCACAACAACTTTGATTGAAAAGAACCGGCATCCTTATTCTTAATCAGCATGCTTTTATACACTTCGTAGAACAGGAACTCTAAAGCAGCTCATGGTGACGCTCTGAAGACATTTACACCATTTCCTTTGTAGAATCCTATTATTCCCTCCTTTCTATAGATTTTCATCATAGCCTGGTCAAGGGAGAGTTTGGAGTAGCTCTTCACTGAGGTCTGACGTAATATTTTAAGTCTCTCCAAAGGGCATGTTGCCGACCTTGAGATAGCTCCTGCAACTGCTCCTGTAAAGAAATGCTTCATGCTAACTTCTTTCCTAGCTGGTTCAGCCTTTTTGACAATTGGAACCTCCTTCTGAGGTACAGTAAGTCCGAAACTGGGAAATAAGCTAGCCAACATTGCCTGGAATAATATTTTTAATATAAAAAATCATAACCATAATTTCTACTTTTTGACAATGTAATGGGGTTTTGGGGTTTTGGGGTTTTGGGGTTTTGGGG